CAAACCATCAGAATAGCATTGCAGATAACCAGTACTACGACACTGATGGCGTCCCCAGTGACGAGCTCTATCAGTCCTTCCCGTTTGATAGCATATTACAGAGCTATAACCATTGAGGCAGGAGTGCCGGGCTGGAAGCGGGTACGTAGTGCTTTTCCGATGGCTAGCTGTGTGAAGAGGAGTGACTTACCCTTCTGCAGTCCCTGCTTTCTCTTTCACAATGTACTATGCAAGTTTCCTGATATAACTTAAGGTTATATATTACAGCCCAAAGACTCGTGCCCGTAAAGAAGAGAGGTGGGAGTAGCGTTTGGGATTCCGTACCTTAAAAATACCTTGTATACATATTTTTACGCTGTTGGAAAAAGGAACTGTTAACACTTAAATCTTCCTTACCTTTGGGGACTGTAAAAACTGGCATCTTCAGAAGGGTTAAAATTTCACATACTTCGCAGGGTTAAAATTGTTTGAAAAATAACCATTTTTGCTATGGAAATTAAATTTAAAATTTGATAGGACAGAAATTAGGGGAAAAAAACCCGGCACATGGGCACTCTAGTTCAGACTCACTTAACAATGTTAAAGTTTTACTCAACTTACTTGAAAGGTTTAAGTTTCTTACCCTCTTTCATCTAAAATACTCTTCTCCTAAAACAAGATCGTGCATTGAGTTTTCACATTTTCACCACACTCCATTTGCTTTGAAGGCAAATTTACTCTAAAAGTTTTTTAATGACTATGTCATTGTTAGATATATTTTAAAAGACCGGAAGGTTTGAGTATTTTAATAGTTCATCTCTGTTGTAAATGAGTCACTGCACAAAAGCATGAACAGAAAGTAAGGACTTCTCTGCACTTCATGCAAAGTGCGTTATTTTAAATGACAAACCCCTGTTGCTTTAGGACTGGAGACGCTGTTATTTCTCTGGAAGTTTTTTTTTTTGTGTGTGTGTGTAGCTGTGATGTATATGTTATTTTGAACTGCGGAAATATGTCGAGCCGAGGCATCTACCTATTCTTTCCTCAGGTATCCCAGCAGTTTCCTGCTATGCAAGTGACTGCTTAAAAGAAGGCTCAGACCCTGCCTCCCCCCGCAAGAAAGCCTTGGGGCCAACCCGGAGGCAGTCTTAGTGCAGCCTCACCTTGATGCACTCTGTTAACAACTTACGGCCATTTCAGTCAGTACTAATTAAAAACACTCCTCTCTACTCTGTATCAGAAAGCAGGATTTCCTCCTTTCCCCCTGATTCCCAGTCTTTGTTCTTAGCCTGAGTTGCGAGATGTTCAGTGACAACTCGCGTGGATGTAACTGGCTAGGTAAGACACTCTACTCTGCATTATAGGGCTTTGCTATTTTATTATTATTATTTTTTAAGAAGCAATACAGCAAGAAATATGTAAGTATTTCTTAAGTTATACAGCTGTTTTGTATGGCAGATAAGGCTTAAGAATGTAATTGTTACTGTTCAGCAACATAAAACTGCACCATGGAAAGAAGCAATAAAAAAGCACACTTGGATGTATAGAAAACAAAAACCACAAGGCCAAATCAAAAAAGCCACTTGAGACACGTAGTTGTACACAAGGCAGAAAGGAACTCCAAAAAACCTTCGTGGTTTATCGGAAAGCAATGACTCCTTAACTGCAGTAATTCATTGCATTCAAAGCAATAAGGTGCTGCTGCTGTAATGCATTACACCGATTACACGGGTTTGACGGAATATGCTCCTTAGACAATGTGTAGAATGCACAAAGTTTGGAAAACTGTCCCCTGACGCTAGGTATGCCATGCAATGAATTGACTCTCCACGGTTTTTCCTCACTTCTGCATACCTCCTCTGCAGTCTTAAGTAACAGAAAGACCAAAGGAACACGAAAGCTTGAAACGTGGTGTTTATTCAGTTCTTTTTTTGAAGTTCTCAATTTTAAGTATATTAAATGTAAACATTTTACTCACTTCATAGAGAGCTCTTTATAGTACAATTTGTTTTTACTGTATAATATTTTCAACATTGTTTTCCTTTGTAAACGAGTTGGTTTGGTAATTAAAAAAACTGGTTATACTAAGTACTCGGCTTCTGCAACCTTTTCGGATTCATGACATCCCTCACGGCAGGAAAGCCAGAGAAATGGGAGAAGGTGGGTTATGGGTTGCTTATCCAGGGTTTTTTTTGGGGGTATTTTCTGCTCACAGTTACCAATAGTCAGTACACAACCCAAAGTGATGGGTGCAGTAAAGGTTCATCTGCACTCAGCATTTTTTTGTGGCAGACCAATTGACTTTGTAGTCAGAGGGGACAGATGCTTTCATGCTCAGCCAGAGCTGTGCTACTGGTACAGCTTTCTCCAGGTTCAGCTAAGCGGATGCAAGAAAAAATGTAGGGGCGGCATTATAGGCAACCAGTTGTTTGGAGAAATACAACAGCTTCGTTTTGAGTCCTTCCAGTGCAAAGAAGGATGATGCTAAGGAATGTCGGACCACATTTTTTTAGTATTTTTCACACAACGTGCTAGAAAATATCTACCTCTTTCACACATGCCTCATGAACGAGATTACATCTTATGCTCACAAAACATTCTATTCGAGTACTCACAAGTAGGTATTTTAAAAATAAGATGAAGGCCAAAGTACAACATTAATATTATTGCTGTAATCTTAATTACAGATTATGATAGTTCAAAGTGTTTACCTTGTATTAGAAACTGCAGACTCTAACAAAGTTCAAAAAAACAGATCACATCTCTCACTTTTATATTTTTACGTGGTCACTGAACAATATCTAAAGGTGTAGAAATATTTGCATCATCAGCTTTTTTCCCCTGATTTGGATACTTCACATTTATTATAAAAATAAGCAAGTGGGGAAGTTTTGGTGGACCTCTGTGTGGCATGGAGACGAAATTCGACTTGGCGCATTTAGTGTAATCTTTATAGCCTTGTTTATCTGCACTTTGATTCTGAACATGATCTCCACTGTCGCCATGATAACGTACAGCATAGTACAGAAAGAGCTGCAGATGGGAGCACCGCGAGTGTCCCTGCGCTACGGCAGAGCCCTCTCTGCTCCTGCCTTGTTAGCTCTATTGCCCCCTTGGAACAGCTCTTCTCATGTCGGTTGTGTCCATAGTGCAGTCATGTTTACATTCCCCCCCTGTAGTTTATGGAATTTATATATCATATTTTAGCTCACTTTGAGTTTCAAGAATTCACATAGATGCGAGACTGAAATTCTCTTTTGTTTGTTTTCTGAATTCAGTTTCTTAAGTTTTCCATCATTTATGACACTTCCTTTCTGGGTACAGATTACTATCTGAGATGACGACTCCTGGAATCTGTTGCTCATAACAGCTTTAAGATTAAAAACAAAAAAATACTGCTGTCTGAATCATGTTCCTATTATTTTTGTGTTAGAAAAACGGGAGTTTCTGAACTACTGCCACACTTACGTTACAGTGGACTAGGAAAAATGATGAGAGACAAGTTTTGACAACCCATCACAGGCAGAGTGTTTAATACTTGTACTAATTTGTCAAGATCAGTTTTTAGGAGCTCCTTGAAAATGTATTTACCAATGCCTTTTTGAGCCTTCAGCTAGAGTTATCATGCAGCTGTTCTATTATGAGGTTCTGGCACCGCTGTCCCCAACCGTGGTTCGTCTTGGCAAATATTACCCTCTTTATTTCTGAAACATTAGTTAACGAAGAGCCCTTAAATTCCAAACCTTTAGTTCTTGTTGATAACTTAACTTTCTGCCGTACTTCAGGTAAGCAGAAGCATCTTCCTGATGGATTAACATGATACAGGCATAAAAGTGGCTTTTCCTCAAGATGGGTGGGACCTGTCTAATAAACATGAAACTGTTCCTGCAGCCCAACCCCTGCTTTGTGTGAAACCTTTAAAATAACATAAGCAAAGAAAAAACCCCTCAGGTTTTCCCTATTCCAGGTAAGTTCCTAGACAATGTTCAACTCTTCCAGGCATCCATCCAAGGTTGGATACTAGAAAAAAATGTATTACGCTACAAACCAAAGCTTTTTGATCTGACATGTTCTCTCGATACTAGCATTCTTCAGTACATTTTATATATATATATATATATATCTGTACTTTGGGGTTCTTGGTATTCCTATTTTTCTTTAGATTTCTGTCTTGCACCACTGCCAGGACTTCCCAGTCTTTTTATATATGGTGACTCAACTGGGGAAATCCTATGCCTGAAGAGGACTGTAACCAGGCTAGAGAGCTATTGAGGCCTCAAGTACCTCAACTGTTGTTTCCAGGAAGCATCACTGATGTTTTTAAATGAGAAAAATTTGGGTTTAAGTGCAAAATTTTCCTCTGAAAACTGTTTTTTTTTCCCCTTTGAGAAGTACTTTGGGAGACAAATTGGCCCGTCTCTAAAACTGCCACTGACTAAAAAGCAGTCAGCAGAGCGCAGAGTGCGGCCTCATTCCAGGCACTGTCCTACCGGTTTCAGAGTCTCCCTGACTTTTGGGATTTCCTGCGTCAACGGTGCTCAGAAAAAGTTAGGGCTGGGTTTCAGGTAATTCACTGCTACCTGCATCCAGACAAGAAAGCTGCAGCATCCAATATAAAAAGAGTTTAAAAAATCTGGCTTGAGGGAGGTTTTTAATTAAAACATTGTAATGTTTTAATTTAAACTACTGCAGAATGCATATTTGATGTACTTGCTCAGTACACTATTTGCACATTACATCATTTACGTTTATCTTAATTTTAAAAAGACTTGTTATCAATACGCTACCTTACCAAAATTATTTTATGCACAGAAGAAATTAAAATAAGGCTAGAGATTGAATGAACGCTACCTGTTCCAGAGTGTTTAAAGTTGATTCAAAGTAACAGTATCCTTTGGCAGATCAACATGATCCAAATGTTCAACAGAAATACTTTGCAACCAAGCTGTAATACACTGTACAGGGTTCAGTAACCAGCTGCTGACAGAGGAGCTGCTTCTTCCTCATCCCAACTTGAAAGGTTAATTATCCAGGGTTGGAGGCCAGTCAACGTCAACAGACTAGAAAAGCAGGGGGGAAAAAGGCAAATCAGCAGACTCGGTGTTTTACATACATGAAGAGATTTGCTACTTGCTATCAGAACTCGTCAGCTATAGGCTAAGAGCGGAAAGAAACAGTGAATAAAGGGCACTAAGATAAGAGACGGGGGACAAGACAAGCAGAAGACTGTAGCATGAAACAGCCCCCTCTCTCTAGCGGCTCCACGTGTGTCTGGAGAGAGCTCTCTGGGAGCTGGGCTTTCTCCATAAAGCAGAAACACAACTCCTTGTGCTCCTGCTTCCCAGCATCATTTGATGTTGGGCTGCATTTACAGAGTGTCCAGAACTGTTAATTACAAATATGACCCATCTCCATCTTCCACTCATCCTACAGATGGGCCATTACGATGTGAAAACAAGTAACCTGTTGATTGATGCCACAGAAATACTCAGGTATTGGGCAGTGCAGGCAAGGCTCGAGTAGAAAACCATCACCCGTCTCCAAATCTGCCTCCTGAGTAAGGAAAACTTGACTAGAAGAATAAGCTGTCAAGCATTATGCACAAGAATTATCTAGGCAACTTCATTAACAGTCATCCTGACTGTTAGTCAAAAGGGACAGAACGTGCCTGACGCTTCATTAGAAGCAAATGTTGTAATTACTACCACTTGGATTACATCTTTCTTCCCTGGCCTCCCTGAGGCCACGTCTCCAATTCCCTTTGGGCATAAACTTGTTGCTCACCCTCTTCCAAAAGCAGAACACCCTACGCTACCATAGCATCATCACTTGCGATCACAACACGGGGATCGCCACACAGCACGTTAAACACCTTGGCTTCAAGACTGCCTACGTTAATCATACCTACTCCTTGCCTAATCTACAACTGCATCAAAGGACTAGGCTCTGAGCCTGAGTTAAATGCATTATTAGCAAGATGACTAATTATTTTCATGTCTCTAGACATCTTTCACAGTTATGTCCGATAACCTATCCGTATGAGAGCGATGCTTATCACCCCAAGCCAGGTGTTCCTGTTTTCAGAGGCAACTGAAGTGTCCTCTGCAAGCTCTCTTCCTGTATTATCCTACAAAAGATAGCAAAAACCTGTATGTCTCTTCTGCAAAATGTAACACAGGGGCAGTTTTCCAGAAATACAGGAGAACAAGCGTGCTGATCACTGGCTACTTGAAATGAAACCTCATGTTTCAAATAAACCTTGCCAAACCACTATGTTAAATATTAAATTCATATCTCTACATGCATTCTTTTAATCAAAACAAATTTTGTTTTTTCATCTGACTCCAGCAACTAAGCAGATGTAATTTCTTGCTGTGTTTGAACCAGCACTGAAAGAGGAAGTCAAATCTCTCTTATGTTTCAACTGACCCTGTTTTGAAAAGAAATGATGTGGTACATATAACATTGCTAAGCTCTCTTCCAGTGGGTGCTAATAATAAAGCGTCATCAATTCACGGAACATCCTCCCATCCCTCCCCGACATGAATTCAGCAGAGGAAGCCTGTCACATGTGGCAGCGTGCTACAAACCACAATCTTTGCATTAACATCAATTTTTCTATTAACTGCGGTCAGGAATGTTGATTTGGTTAGAGCAATTCCACTGAAACCATCTCACAGATGCAACTATATTACTAATTTCCAGAAAGATAAATAGCAAACAACTTACTTCTACATCCAACTCCAGAATGTCAGCAGTTCTGTTCAGTAGGGAGCCAATACTGGGCTTTGTTCTTCCAAAGTCTCCATGCACAAATTCTTTAATGTAGCTAGAAATACTGGCTAAGGAAAGGTGTATTTTACCGCAAAGAAATCAAAAGGAAAAAAAAAAAGAGCATGGTGAAACACATGCAAAGCAAAAAATGGTGTCTTTTTCTACTCCTAAGCCAACTTGCAGCGAACATCCTGTTAGGATCATCCTTACTGTCCTGTTAAGCCCACACCCATCTTTAAAAGACTTCCTAATTCTTGGCTTCTGACTCTAATGCCAAAAACTGCACTATTGACCTGTATTTTCTGTTTTATTCCAAAGTGAGTGGTGACTTTATGACAAAACCATTAACTTGCAAGTAGCAGCAATCTACAGTCTGCATTGCAGTGCATTAAATATTGTGGAAAAGCTTATTTTCTATAGTGAAAAGTTTTCAGTTAAATTAGAAAAAGCTTAAGTGTGTCTTTGACCAGTACACTTCCATAGCTAAGCACATACTTTAAAACTATCAGAGTGGTCATCACAAAAATACACACACTTGGGTAGCATTTTTGAATGAAAGCCTGAATGCGAAATTCTGACCTAAAAGCAAACATTATGCAGCAACGTATGACTGCTGAAGAGCAGGGATTTAGAAACACCGCAGTGATAAAAGCAGGAAACTTCCCATTACCCAAAGTAATCAGCAAGCTGTTTCGTAAATGCCTTGTGTAACGGCATCTAAGGATACGTTCCTGCTTGAGTCTTCAGATGCAGGCGAAAATGATGCTCATCTATGTACTCAGATTTCATGGTGTGAATGATCCGACATCTTACAGCTAAAGGCCTTCTGTGAAGAACCCGAAGAGGTGTCTTCTGGTCAAGTTTTAATTCCTGTTACAAGAGGTAACAAAATAAATGAGGAAGGAAACGTGCAACATACCGCACAGATTGTAAGAGTCATTAACATTGTTAACCAATCACATCTTTTTATATTGTATTATGGTAGTTGAGTAATCTTCGAGGCGCGACTAATTTTTTCCATGTTTATCAAAGGAAAGGAGCACAGCCATCTCAAAGGCTAAATGAGAAGGCCTCATATGAACGCAAACTAACGGAATCGCAAATACAGAGATATAACCTTGAAATCTCCACAGTCCTTTGCTGGAATGACTCCAGGATTTAGAAGCTCAGTGAGAGCCTCAGGGCAATCAAAAAAAAAAAAAAAATCCCACCCACAAAATGCTTTGTCTAAGCTACAGTCAACCCCCTAGAAATAAAAGTGAGGAAAAAAAACCCTGAAATGAGATTAGATCTCGTAACAGCCTTTTTAACCCACCCCCTTTCCTAAATGAGCTACAGCAGTTTGAAAGGCAACTTTTCAGGAAATAAGTGGGCCTGCTAAAAAAAAACACGTCACAACAGTTGTCTCCCTGGACTGTAATGGCTCAAGCCCTCGCTTTGAGAATGATTTCACGGCCAAGACCCATAGGAAATGGTGCAACACAACAAAAAGGGAACACACTTCTCCATCAGCAGTATCTCCCTGACCAACATCTGGAGAAAGTTGTCTTAAACGCAGCGTGCTCACTACACCGAGCACTTTGTAAGGCCTCTTTGCATTTTTTGTCACAGACATTTCAAACTCCTAATTGCTGCAGCTGTGGAAGAATGTTTTAGAGCTTGCAGAACAAAAGACCTTCTCCACTCCTTTCACTTACGCAAAACACTATCCAAGATAAAGAAAGGGGTGCGGGTGCCAGATTTCCTCCTCTCCCATTCACTACTTATTATTATTTGGTATACTGGAAGGTCAACATTATTCATGAATTTGTTGCCTTGGCTAACGGCCAGCCAGCTCTAACGCCAGGATGACAATGGTGAAGTAAGGAAGGGTGAGAAGGGGGAAGGGAGATACGAAAGTCCCTACAGCAAGAGAAACCCCCATGAAGCAAAAAAACAAACCCAGAGAAAGAGATATGCCCATGGCTGCATGTATATAAACTCTCCCCTAGGGCACCGGGACAGGTACTATATAAATTAGCAAAAAGAGCTACAGATACCTTGATATCATCTAGAAAAGCAATATCTTCTTTCCGTATTGCTTTGTCTGTCCATATTAAGGCACTATAGGTCTTTGTCTTTTCCTCTTCACCTTCCTTCATACGACCAATTGCCTCTCTAAACAAAAGAAATTAATTACTCACATAACATAAGCATAATTATATAATGCTGTGAGCAAGAATGCTTGCAAAACTCCCAAAGCATTGCTTTGAAATCCCTTGCCAGCGATGATAAATACTGACCTGGTGACGAGCTGTAAATCTCGAACCTGTATTTTGTCTGACGAGTTATTAATTGTCTGTGATATTTTAAAAAGAATCAGTTAGCAAAACTGCTCAGTTAGAGAAGAAACACATGCTTTATGAGTTCCATGAGGTGCAAATGATTTACCTGCTGAAGTCCCTTCATTTCCTCAGCAGTAAAATGTATTCTACGAGGATTCACAAGCTCAATTGCAAAGGGCCTTCCTGGCAACATGCACAGTCATAAAACATAAAAACATGTTGTTCTAAATTAACGTTTGAATTTATGCAGTAAGGTTGGAAGGTGCGAAGATCGTCTGCTGTTATGCAAACAGGGATAGGACTTGCGGGTTTAGGGAGGTAGCATCAGATGGAAGGAAAGAAGCAAGGGACTTTTTTGGCTACTAAACCCCAGTATCAGCAATAAGTGCAAATTATGACTTCCCAGAAGACATCTTGTACAAGTCTCTGCTAATTAAAAAATAAAATAAGAAAAAAAGTTAATTAGCTTATTTTCTGTCACCTAGAGCAATGCCCAGGTGCAAGATGATGTTAAATCCCGCTCCCTCAGCTAAACATCTGTTGCAATAGCTGCACTTTCTGTGCTCAGGGCCAGGGATGATCCCCAGTATAAGCAATGCCAAGAACTACACTACAAATCAGACAGCAACTGGAACACATCGTTGTGAATTTTTACCTTTTCTTTCCCCTCCTCCTTTGGCTATAGTAACTTCAGCGTATCGGAAAGCGACTGACCTTTATAAAGGACTCAAGTTCACAAAGAAAATGAGGCTTCCCCACTCCCCAGTGACAGTGAGGTGAAGTAGAAGGACCCAACAGAAACAAGACAGGAATCAGTCTGACATAAATGGCTTAAAAATAGGAAGTGAATCAAATAAAATACTCTGAACAAGCTACGCATTTCCACGCATCTGTGCGGCCAAGGACACTGAAAAAGGGCTCCTCTTTCAGTTTGGTTTATGAAACTGTTTGGTCTTTTGGAATAAATACATAAATATCACCCAAATGTTTCCGAGAGAAAATTCCGAAGCATGCCTAGGCACACACTTAAGCACTTCGCATTCAGCAAGGTCTAACAGGGTAGCTTCGGTTAACCTTTTTGTTTGTTTCTGTGTTTTACAAGGGATGTTCCAAGCCTTACCATTGCCTAGTGTTCTTACATCCACATCTTCTCTTCCGGAGGAAGAAAAGTTAAAGCCTATAACAGATTTGAACAAGGGAGGTCAGATTTTATTTTACATTTTTAATACTCTCTAACTGAAATATTTTCTTTCTAAACTTGGTTGCAAATATACTTCAAAGAGCTACCTTTACAAAATGAAGCCTGCACTGTATTTGAAAAAGTCTGGGATACTTATTGTTTATTGGATCACGTTCACAAGTTTGTTGAAGAGCACTCCTAGTTACTTGGCCTAAATGGGACCGCCACAACCCTGAAAATGTCCAAAAAAAGCAGTACCATCTTAAAGGAATTCCACTTACTAATTTTGTTCATTTCTCACCCAGCCAATTCAAGCCTATGAATCAAATCAAACTGAGCCATCTTCCTCCAAAACACAACTTTTTATCCTAAATAAACCCAATGGTTTCCAAAGATTTCAAAGAAATTTCTGCTAGTTGCACACGCCTGGACAAAAGAGAAAGACAATTCAAGTCCAAAGTGAAAAGTAACCTCTGCGTGTTTGGTTTTATTCATCTTTCAAGCTACAAAAAATGTACCGTTGGGTATTTAGTTTCCTTCATCGTACCCCTTCCACCTTTAAGCTTTGCCTGAAGGAGGAACGGGGGACCAAACCCTGCACTAGAGGTAACTTTGCAGCTCTATTCCAAAGGGTCTCTGAAAAACAGATTGTTTCCAAATTTTTGTCTCCACAGGGAACACACACAGCATAAAGATTTCCTCAGTTTTTATTCTCTCTCATTTCTCTGGTCATAATTATGACAACTATATAATCATCTTCCATGGTCATGAAGGTGTATTTTGACCATACTATCAGAATTTTCTTAGGTGGGAACGCTCCAGACCCTTAATCACCTTCACAGCCCTTTGCTGGACTCGCTCTGGTATGTCCACATCTTTCCTCTACTGGGGAGCCCAGAACTGAACCCAGTGCACCAAATGTGCCTCCCCAGTGCTGAGAAAAGGGGAAGGATCACCTCCCTTGACCTACTAGCAATGGTCTCTCGATTTGTTTATCTCTCTTGTCAACATTGCTGCGCATGCACCTCTGGCAGCCACCTGTAGTAGTTCCGCAAGCTGAAATAAGGTGCTACATAGCACCTGGCCTAAAGACATGGTCTGAGGATTTTCCTAGTGTTCAGGCTAACAGATCCACCAGGAGGCAGGAGGAGAGGAGGGGAAAGGAGCTGTTTTTTTCCCAAACGAATATTTAATGTGATTTTTCCTTGGGCCTTCTATGTCTCTAATTCCACATCTAGTAGATGACAAATGATGGGCAATGATTATTTCATCTGGATAATCCCTGGATAAGCATTTAACTTGCGGAACTATGCACTGAACAAAATAAATTAGTCGAGGCAAGAAACACAAAGGGGTCGAAGGTTAGGCAGATATTATGGAACACTGATGGCAAAACCTTCTTGTTACAAGTCATTTTATGAATTACTAACCATTAAGAAGTATGGCTAAGCAAAAATACTACCACATAAAACCATAATATTTGCATCATCAGATCAAGTGAGGAGATATTTTAGAAGGATAAAAGACACTGCGTAAAACAAAGCAGTCATCTGATTACTCACAGATCATAGCTAAAAGAAGTTTACAAGCTCGGACTTGGAAGGGTAAGAGAGGGACAAAGGAACAGTTTTTTTCACTTACACTCTTGTATTAAGTAAGTAGCTAGTCAGAAAAAATATTCTAGTAATGATGAAAAACATATATGGTAAAAGGTCTCCTAGATACTTACTATCCGCTTTAAATTTTGCCATTAGATGTTCTGAAATCAGTTCTTCCACTGAGGATTCCAGCTTCCGCTCCCCATCAATAATCCAGGGAGTCTGAGGTAAATTCCTTGAATATTTGTTGTATCTTCCTGTAAAAAACAACTATGTTACCTGTAATCATTCTGAAGCAATGGACAAAAGCTCCAGTATTGCACAGCACAACACATTTAACTTTCATTGGAGCATTGTGAAAATAAATTTACAGGCTTAAACTTGTTTTATGGCAAGAGCATTACAGTAACAGTATGAAACGCATGCTGCTGCACCTACGAGAGTTTCAGTATCCGAGACAGCCAGCTTAAAGGCAGAGTTGGAGGGCCTACTGCTGCAATCATACCTTCAGGTATAACCACAGAAACAAAACTGTACGTAGCCTGACTCAACTGGAAATGAAAACCCAGAGGTTCAAGCGCCTAGTCTGAGTCAACTTAATTCTGAATGGAAAAATTATTTGTTTGGATCAGACCGTGGTCTTTAACCAGCCTCCCATACCAAACTAGTGCTATACATATGCCTGTCCACCAACGTACATATGAACCAGGTGAAGAAGTTCCCACACCCCCCTATAGCAAGTAGTTCAGGTTTCAGTCCAAGTTCTGGCATTGTCTGAAAGTTTAAGAAAAGAAACCCAAACTAAAATGCTTTGGCTCATTACAAGCAAAACCATGTGAGCAAAATGTGTCAAAAATAAACCAGTACACATTTCCAGAACCTTGAAAAGTTGCCATGTAAAGAGATTGCCATCCCCTGCCTGATTCCAGTCATAGTCCTGTGTTATGTCACACTAGCACGCCGTCGTCTCCCGTGACACAACTGCTATAACCAAAGAACAAGTCTGACACGGATGATCAAGACGAGTTTTCTTATTGACAGGTTTTATAAGAAGTGAAAATATGCACAAAACAAGGAACTCATTCACAAAGAACAATGAGTAACCCCCCTGCACAAACAAGTTTCAGTCTGAAACCTTGCATATAGAAAATAAAAAAGGAGTTCAAAGTAGCTATGCATATTATACAGTGTATCTGTCATCTCAATTTTTCTGGTTTTCAGTATCATATTTTCCTATTTCTAACAGTGTTTCCTTCTTGGGTTTTGATCTGCAGAAAAACCCACACAAACAAATGGGGAAACTGACTAATACAGTTTCACTGGGGCAAATAATGAAAGCACTATGATTATCAGCTTCACACTGCTAAATTCTCTTTCCATAAAACGGAAAAAGGAAAATAATACTTTTTTTATTCTCTCGACTCCCTGTTCTAATAATTTTAGCTTTTGATCTGAACAAGAGTGGGTTAAACAAACACAGAAGGGGTTTCTCGGTTTGACGGCTTCTCCTGAACCTTCAAAAAAAAGTTGGGGGGGAAGCGTTCAGTGAACACCAAAGAGAAGGTCAGGAGGGCAATACCAGCTCTGAAACTGTGCTTACAAATTAAGATCCTGTCTCATTTAAACTGCTGTAATAACAAAATAACAGTACTGTACTCAATAAATTCTTCTCTTCTGGATTTAATTATTCAAAACTTAAAAACAACATCCTGCCTGGATTTTTTTGGTTTTGTTTGGAACAAGCTATAAACTATAAATTGCAAAACCACTATTAAACCACACGCAGAAAGCTAACCCTCTGTCTCTTTCGCCATACAGATGAATTCTGATAAAACCATCCAACAGAGCAACCTAAACCAGTGTGTTTGGAAACGGCTAAAAGACACTGGATTCGTGAAAATGTACATCTAACTGTCTAATCAGTAATTAAAAATGAGAAACAGGTATGTACAGAACACCAAGTAGCCCACCATAAGAACATTCACTTTTGCATTTTTTCTTTCCATTTTACATTTTCCTTTAGTCAGGATTTGTACCATCCTTTTAAACATAGTATATTGGATTAAAATTGTAGGGTTTTTAAAAATAATCTGTTTGCACCTATTTAAAGAAGTGGTTGTTTATACACAGGACTGGGGGAAGGGTAGATGCTCTTGCAGGCAGGTGATAGAAAAGTTTAATCATCTCAACTCCGGGACACCAAGGGTTGTTGTATTACCTGTCTCACCCAGTTATTTCAGATGCTGTCTTGGTTTGGAGGGGGGAACTAGGAAGAACTAAGCTTTCCAAAACTGAACCTTTACTAATTGCATTAAGATTAGCAGTTTTGGATGCAATAATATGCAGAAATGGTGAAAACCTCTGAATCCAAATCAAAATCCAAGCAAGTGAACAGCACTGCCAAGAGCTTATTTAGTGGCGAAGTGCCTTTCCCAAACCACATCTTTATTATGAGGGAACATACTGCAACTCCAGTATTTGCAGGGATAATGGTTTTCTGAAGGAGAGAGCAAGCTTTGACAACAAGGCAAAATTCTTTGTTTCATAAACTGCTTCTGGATAAGCCCCCTTAACAAGCAGGGGCAAAAAATAAGTTGTTTTAAATTTTCACATCATCCTGTGCTGTCTCTAGAAGAGAGAATTCTTTCATCTCTCAAAGCACAAGAAAACCAATGGCAAGGAAAAGCAAGATCTTCCTAAATATCCAGAAGGGAGGTGTGCCCGCACACTGGGAGCAGCCGGAGCGACACCGTCCCCTCCTGCAGCTCCTGCCACGGGAACCTGACCTTGGCCCTGATACAGCTCCCACTCCTCTTCAACCGTATTCCACCATGCACTTTCTCCAGCTTTAAATTCACAATGTAAGAGCAGGCAAATAGTTTTGATTTTAGCATGTTGGTCTGTAATTTCTAACTTCTGACAAAATCATATCTACAGCAAAGGCAAGAATAATTTCTTCCCCTTTCAAAGCGGACTCTTAGCCAGAGCTAGATTTGGTTTTAATTCTTTGTTTTAATTACAGCAATCAACAAATAGCAAGAATCTTCTGGGCCTCACAGCAGTATTATGAAGTTATGTTTAAGACAACACAGCAGCAAATAAATGGATCACTTTACCAGCGACAAAAACTGCACCATTATTGCACTGAATTTCCAGAGCAACACAGAGGTTCTTTGGTGAACTTGGGGGACATGGAAAATGCCTGTATAAAAAAAAAAATTAAAAAATACTATAATACCAGAACACGCTGGAGCATCATCATACCAATAATGGCATGAAATGACAACTTCAGTTACACAAAACACAGCTACAGTATAAACTCAGTATTCACGTTGAAAGCTGGAGCACCGAGAAATGGACAAACATTAAGCAAATCAAGAACACCACATTGCAAATACTTTTGTCAATCTGTCATCAAACATTATTGAAGTATAACACTCCAAAGTGCGCTAATAAGATGTACCATACTACAGCTATAGCAATAATGAAACTAAATACTGCATGAAAACTATCTTTAGGATCTATTACTAAATGTTTGCTGGGAATCAAAGAAAAAAGCTGCGAAGACTTAGTGCAATTAAGCACAGTTAATTACAGAGAAAGCGTCTATTGATGTCTTCCCACTGCTTGTGATTTTTACCATATTACAGCACTCAGTGTTTTCTTAAAACTCAACCCCTAACATTTTGGAAATATGGGAAAAAGCCTTTCTTGTAAAGAGAAGCTTGCCTTACAAACTCTAAGGTTCAAAATACAGAAGGAAACTCCATGATTTCTAAATCTCTTCTGTGGTTTTGGGGATGTACATAAAGATTTTTGAATGTAAATGACTGGCAATGTTACAACAAACTGTTTTCAGTTCTAACCGTTCTAAATCCCATGCCAGCCCAGAGGTCTGCAGTGACGTACTGCTGAAAGCACAGAGCAGAACTGCAGCTCTCTGACCCACAGCTTCTCCTCTCTGCTGCTCCTGAGACAATCAAGCAACGAAGCACTTCTACTGATGGGAAAAAGACTGTCATTTCTGTCATGTCCAGTTTTCCATTCTCTGTGGCTTAACTCAAGCATTTTAAGATTACTCCTTAATTAAAAGATCTGGAATGACATTTTATTACCAGAAGAATATAAAACACAACACATTTTAACCAGTAAATTAGCAGAAGCTAAACAACTAAAACCTATTTTGTGATCTCTTAGCACGACTTACCCACTTAATATTTTCCTCCCCATCCTAATTCTACACAAAAGCACAATACTAAGAACTAGTTTCAGTATATACTTACTTGAGAAAATCGTCTTCTTTTATCTTCTCTAGGGCTTTTATAACTGCCATTCTAGTGAAAACAGACTGCACAGTGAAATAAAAAAATGAGTCAAGAACTAAGAGAAGCTAAGAAAGAATATGCCTAAGGAAGAAACAAAACCCTAAAGCATACACACTGTACACTTCTCACAATACAGTTTTTTCACTTGTGTTTTGTGTTTTCTTATACCTAAAAGCAACTCTATATCAGCAAGAACTCACTCTGATCTTAACCCTCACTTTAAGAGAGCATCAATGAGCAATAGGTAATTTTGCCAAAATCTGTGCAAGTAACTTTATGCACAACAGGACAGCAATACAACTAATATGGCTGACCGACTGGAGCGTAACAGTTATTAAGTTGTACAACTAAGATTTGCCCCTTTGTTTCTAGAATTTACTACTGTTTGTACATGTTGGCTTCCTCACTCTGTTTTTATGCAGAAAAAAATAACAAGCGCCACTGACTTTCAGCAGGTCTAAAGTTACCGCCACACTTCCAAAGAAACCTACTCCAACTCCTCAGAATATTCAATTGCTAAGCCTGCCCTTTGGTTAGCCGAAATAAGTGCTAAGCTTATCTCTGGAAACTATCTTATTTCAGATGATAAACAAAAGCGTGCAAAAGAAAGAACAAAAAAAGTAGTGCTTGGCAGCTCAGGTCCAAATTTGCAAAATAGATTAAAACCAGAATCCTAAATCCATGAACAGAAACCAAAACCAGCTTCCCCATTTTCAAAAGTTAAGTATACCTAAGCCCCAGTTTTTATCCCAGTGACAGTAGGCAGCTAGTTCTTCTGAAAATAAGACTGTTGAGTAGGTATCTGCTTATAAAGTTCAAAAGTTCATTCATACGCAGAAGTAAGGGCTCTGAATGGTAGGGTGTGACAGTTCTCCAACCGTGGAGGGCAAGCAACTTCAGACTCCCAAGCTGCATCGATTCACAAGGGTGAACTGATAGTAAAAGCAGTAATAATAGTACAATAGCAGCAGGAGCCACGACTACCATCCTCCAGGCATAGCCAGGTGCTGCTGTTGATAACTCAAGTGAGGCTAAGGCAGAAAACACAGAATTGAGCTTCTGAGAACAGGAGAAACAAGTCTTGTAACAGATGAGGTGGAATGCTACTTTAGGAAGGCTGAGAATAGTAGAAGGTCTCTAAATGAACCTCCTAATTAAAGCATGATCAGCTATGAGATCAAACCATACTGCCAAGAGTTTTATCCAGTCAGGTCTTGAAATCCTCCAAGGATGGAGCCCAGACACCCTCTCTGCATAGCCTGCTCCGCTGTCCAACTGTCCTCGCGGCAAAAAGTTTTTTCTTACATCTACTCCAAACCTCATATTACAACTTCTTTCTGCTGTCTCTCATGCTGCCACCATGCACTGTGATGAACAGCCTGGCTCTCTGTTCTCAATAATCTCTCTGTTGGTACTAGAGGGAGATTCAGTTGGGTCTCCCTGAAAGCCTTCTCTTCTCCAAGCTGAAGAAGTCCAAGTTTCTCAGGCTCCTCCTAGGGCATGTGCTCCAGCCCCCCAACTGTCTTGATGGCCATCTGCTGAATTTCCAATTTAATGATGTCTTTTTTGCAAATTGGATTGGGGATTTGGAAAAAAAACTGAAAAGTACTGGGTCGCTTTGGGACAATTCAAGTCTTTGCTCTAACACAGAGCTCCTGGATGCCTTCAGGAAAACTGCTCTTTCTCCTTGTAAGCGTAAATTAGAGACAATAGCACTTCCCCTCCTTGTAGAAGAGATAAACTGGAAACCCCTTAAACTAGCAGCAGATTTAAATAACTGTCTACGGCAGATGACAGAAATTTTCACTCAGAACCAAGTTTTTATACTACTTCTCTGATTAACACACCCCTTCAAGCACAGCTTCTTTGTAAGGATGAACTTGTGACAGCTCTTCAGAGTCGGTATTTTTTCCTTTCGATTCCCCTACATCTTGTTGCCTGTGTGGTTTTAACAGCCAGGCCCTGCTGGTTTAGCTCCTTATGTGGGATTTCCCCCCTTTTAAAGGAAAGCAATGCAGCAAGCAGTGAGTTATAACAATGCAATCCTTCTAAAAAAAGACTTGCATTTATTGGTTAGGTGGAGTAGAGTAGGCAGAATTCCTGGGTCAGACTGCCTCTGCCAAATGTCGGTAGACTCTTCACCAGAAAGAATAAAAGGCCTTACACAGGCTTCTGATAGAAGTTACTTGTTCTCCCTCTGATCACACCAACTGTCCTACTTACATCAGTTTCTCCCCAACTGTTTTTTTATTCTTACATGTCCTCTTTTCTGCCAATGAATTGTGTGTGTGCTCAGGGCCTGCAACAAGTGGCGAGGTCCCTTTTCTTTTCTCCCCTCCTCTAGAGGTAGACAGGATAAAACCAACCTGCATGTATTGTGTCTTTCATTCAGATCAGAGGACGTGAAAACTGCAATGTGATCATTCTCTTTCAGCTGTGGAGTCTCATCTTCTCAATGTGACTTATCTGAACTGTTTCACCCAGAGAGAGCTTGAGGATCATCTTTTATGCTACATTTAATGCATGACAATCAAATTCCTAGATCTTAAGGGAGGTATTTACAGAGAACATTCCCAAAATTACGGCCTTTAGATACTCTGGAAAATGAATGAAGAAAAGCACCGAGCGCCTAGTTTTCCAAAGCAGAGAAACGTTAACTGAATAAAGGAGACAACTTTTTTTTCAGACAACTGAAAACTGGAGAGACTTTTCATGAAGGAAAACCAGACATTAAATACTGACTGAATACCCAGATAAATTCTTCGTTGTAGCTACTGCTGTGAAATTCTGAATGTCAGAAAAGAAACAGAGCAACGATGAGATCCTACCTGTTTGTTCTTCGCTGGTTTGAAACAGTCTGGGCAGGCTGTGGCTCTAAATACAGAAATGAAAATTAGCTGCTACTCTTACAGAAAAATAAATAAACAGAGAGTTATAACCACAGCATGTACAGTGTCTTTGTACCAATATGTCCAGTATCTCACTTGCACAGCTTAGGACCGAGCACATTTTAAAATTAACTTTATCCTAAACCCCAAACAGCGGAAGGTGTGCATTGCTTGATCTAGACAGAAATGATGGACAAAGCTGTGTAATCTCCTTTTGCTCTGACCAACGCAACGTGTCTCAGCTTTGAGATGGGATTGAAAAGCACACAAGAAGTTTAGCTTTCAGTCCTTCCTAATCCTTCTCAATAAAGGTCATGATTGATGTTTAAGTTCTGTGCAAGATTTGCTGACATCTTGAAACCTGTACTTGCTGTTCTTAGATGCTACAAACTATAGATTCAAATTGCTGCTTCTGGATAGGAAAAGTCAACTTACTACAGAAAAAGTAACCCCAGGTGTTCGATACCATTTGTGCTTTGCCTCTTCAAAAGGAAACCATTGCCTGTTTCACGAAAGTGAAAGCCAAGTCAGTGAAACCCTTTTTCTGAGTACTGTAGAGGAAGTTGCTGTTCCTATTAGTGGATTTCTATGTATGCAGTTAGAGACAAATTTCTAGCCTACAACACAATTTTCAACGCCTCTGTAACTACGTTAGACTATAAGGATGCAGGTCTGACCTCTTGCTGTTTCTATACAAGCAACGTGCCTGGCCAGTTTGTGACACAAAGCACCACTACTTACCTCTTCCAGAATTTAAATTTAAACATAAATCTCCAAACATAAACTAACAAGAGTCAATTCAATCTTCGTGTCAGACCAAAGGTCGCTTTAGCACACCTACCTACACATAATTGTGTAAGAACAGCTTGAGAGATGAGAAATGCCATACTTGGAAAACCCACCCAAAAAAGAACAGCTTGAGAGATGAGAAATTGCAGATGCCATACTTGGAAAACCCACCCAAAAGCATACCTGGAGGACTTCAAGTTGAGACAAGGTCCCGCTTTGCTTCCACAAAAAACATGACTGTCATTACTAAAGCCGTGACAACTGTCAAATTTACCATATTTACATCAAAACCAAACCATTGTCTCAGAATATGCCCAGAGCCAGCCATTCACATATGCAGAATGCCTTGACACCTGAGCAACTACCATGTAATTAAATTAGGTAATATGCTGTCACTTCAGAAAAACATCTAAAACCTTTATTGTTGTTTAAGTACGCTACAAAGAGAAGGCAAGTAAAGGGATATTGTCAAGTCACATGGAATAAAGCTGAGGAGTTGGAATGTGGAATGGAACTACTTTGCAGTTTTCACCTCTACAGTAATTCCACTTGGAGCGCTAACCTTGGCACCATAACATGCTTAGCAGCAACAATTCTGAAAGGTCACAAAAAGGATGGAATGATGAGCTGAAGATAATTGCCAATAGGTTTCAGAAGAAGGAAGAACACTACAGGAAACAAGACCTGATCAAGTAAAATTAAATAAATAAGAACAAAAGGGTGCAGGATCCAGAAACTTTTGAGTTTTTACAGGATTGCAGGTACCGTTATTTAGAATTGTAGACGGGCCTTACTACTTTCTCCCCCTTTTGCCCAGTCTTGAAGAAGCTGGACAGGAAAGAAGTTCAGCAAATGCTGGTAATAATTCTTCCTAATACCGGGTATGTCACCAAGAATGCATTCCCTCACCCCCTATGCCAAGACATATGAAGTATGCAGTCGTTGAAAACCAAGTAAGTGGCATATTGAACCTTCAAACAAAGATCACAAGTTGCCAGAAGGGGTAAAATCAGGGAAATACATAAAGGCTGCAAAGGAAATATCTAGTCTCAAGAACTGAAGGCCCTATGCACCAGGGAAGTCAGAAATTCTACGCTGAGCCTCTTTCTATGCTAACATTTAACTTGCAGTTGGAGCACAAATGATGAAACTGAGCGAAACTTAAATCTTCCAGGAAGCATCAGCAAACAGGAAGAGTGCACCTAATTATCCAGAATATACTACAGCTAGATTTTGAGAAATCAGATTAAATGGTAGCTAAATTCACAGAAATATTTTGCTTCTTTGTGTATAGCAGACGCCCTACTGGGCCAGCCCAAACACTATGTGTAGTGGCCAGGGAACTTCCGTTTGTTTTAATCAACCAGCTAAGTTCGATTAATTCACTTCAAAGGCTTCCCTCCCATCCATGTCTCCTGTAAGAGCAGGAAAACCTAGGCATGACCTCAAAATATTCTCCCACCTGCAACTACGTGGTTATTAATTTATTTTTTTAAATGATACGGCTATACTGAAGAGGCTAATGGCTTTGAAAAGGGCTGAAATGGAACAACTTATCTGAATGTTCTCCTTCCAGTCAAAATCAAAATTCCGGATGATTTTGTTTATTGGTTTAAAAGCACAGAATTAACCAGAGATGGTGTAACTTTAAGCTCTGCAACTCTATCTAAATATGAGGAAGTTTAGATGCAGGCCCCATTCTAGTTTATAAACACTGCATATTCTCATCTGTAGCAAATCCAAACCAACAATGTTGCACAATATTTAGATAAAGATCTTTTGTTATTTATATAAAAACTTACAGGAAATGGCACTCCTCGTCGGTTTCTGGGTGAGCAAAGACCACGCTAACTTCAAACAAACTCTAAATTAAAAAAAAAAAAGAAGGCAGTAATAGTTTTTTAAACAAACAGGAAGGATATTCTCAAGCATCCTTAGTATTAGGAAAACAGTAAAGAGGTAGAGAAAAGAGAAAATAACCCATTTATTCAACAACATCATCTAAAGACATTAAAACATGTGCCATAACAGCATTTGCCTTTCTGAAGTAACCAAAGATGATCTGAGGCACTTCAAAAACATGAGTGACCTACACATCATAGATACGAGCCCCATTTTGCACAGGGGGAACTGAGTCAGAGACAGTGTATGCTCAAAGCTTATTACGGTCACTAAACTTAACAAACCTTCTGGGAGAGTAGTGCATAGCGTGGAATAAAGATAAAACCCCTGTAGTAGTCACCACTGTAAAATTTTGTCAGGGGCTTCGTTTGCAATGACTGGATGGCCTTGGGGCAAAGAAAGGCAACATGTCCTAACGGACTGACAGCTAGACCAGAAACTCTAGTGTAATCTCAACTCTACCCCCAATTCCCTCTTTGGCCTTGGGCAAACAACACTCATTACTTCTGTTATTCAGATACCAGAGTACCTCAAGAGGGCTATTGAAAAGATTGGCTAATATTCAAGTGCCTTGTAGATAAAGAGCACTAGACAAGTAACTTTTATGGTACAATGATGTCTGGAGTGCCTCAGTGCCTAAGTATCGTAGAGCTCTTGCTAACTTGGTATGTGAGAAGTTTGTTTCTTCTTGGATCATCTTCAGGGTAACTAAGTGTTTCTTTCTTCACTAAGGCAAAAGGTATGCTTTCCATTAGCACTCCTGGGAAAAGACAATCTGTAATTATTATGGAAGCTGACAAATCAATGTAAAGACTAAGTGAGTCTAGTCCTGGGGTCAGTCCTATGGCTGATGACAAGTAAAAACTGCAGACTGCCTTGTCCTCAGCAGGAACGGTAGCCAAGTTTGCAGATATTTTACATTCAAGATGATGGTGTTTCTGAATTTGTCTGGCAACATCTGCATGTCATATTCAGTCAATGCATTTCAGAAACTTTTTAAGAATGTTAGTCAGAATCTGGAAGTTGGAAACAGCATTTGAAAAAACATTTCTATGCCTACATACAGGTATTGCAGGTTCCAACGTGCCTATCTATCTCTAGCATTCATTAAAGTGAACAAGGACCAATCTTTTATTCGTCAGTATGTTTCAGAAATGTACTTTATCCATAGAATTTAACATGCTAACAACCTGAACAGTTTATCTCACAGAGCAGCAACAGTGGTGGCAGTAATAGGAGAATAAAGAAGGAATGTGTGAGCATTCCTTAGCCTCTGGAAAACAGAGATCCTGGAAAATGAGAAAACTGAAAAAGTCTCATTGATAAAAGGAGGGCGGCAGCCCAAGAACAAGAGATTTAGCAAAAGACTATGATGGTTTCAGAAGACGCAATGGTCTATGTGTATAAAAATGAAGATCGGACTCCTCTGTATTGACACTTGGAGATCTCTGGTTTAAAGAACTTCTCCCCTGCTTCCCCCTACACTGAATATAAGAGTAGTGCAACTTGTTTATCTGTTAATGAGGAAAAGAAGTATCTATTTTTATTTTTTCCCTCATATATATAAGTGTATAAATATATAGACACACACAAGCACATATTAAAAAAAAAACAGAGAGAAAAAAAGTGTTTTGTTTTTATA